AGGCATGCAAGGCAAGCGCTTTAACCACTGAGCCACCTTCCCAGCCCCCCAAAGCAGGAACTTTTAAACGACACACTTTCATAGAAAAGACAGTTTTTCTCACAGTGAATATGTTATTTGTAAGCAAGTATGTATGCTATGATCCCCACACTTTAGATGAGCTGGCTGGGAAGGTGGCTTAGTGGTGGAGTGCTTGCCTACATGCATGAAACCCTGGGTTTGATTCCTCATTACCACATAAACAGAAAAAGCCAGAAGGGGTGCTGTGGCTCAAGTGTTGAGTGCTATCCTTGAGCAAAAGAAGCTCAGGGACAGTGCTGCCCTGAGTTCAAGCCCCAGAACTGTTAAAAAAAAAAAAAAGAAAGAAATGAATAGTTGAGCTATGCTAGTGTGTGTGTATGGGGGGGCGGGGGTACGCTCAAGTGTGTCAGTGGCAGGACTTGAACTCAGGGCCTTGTGCTCTGACTCAGCTTACTTGTTCATGGTTGGTACTCTACCACTTGAGCCATGCCTCCAGCTTGACTTTGCTTTTGCTAGTTCATTGGTTTTTCTGGCTAGATCAGCTTCAAACTATGATCTTTCAGGTCTTAGCCTTCCCTGGTGTCACTAAGATTACAGGCATGAAACACAGGTGCCTGGACTTATCTATACACTCTTCAGTATGATTCTCAATGAAAATATTTTGCTACATACAAGAAAAAAGACGGAAGAGCCTCAGCTGGCCTAATTATTCTCTGGCCTTTACTGAGCTCCCTGCCCCCACTTACTGCTTCAGCCTCAGTTTCTCCATTCGTAGTAGGTCCCTTGTTCTTCTTGCTGTGTAGGGTTGGGGTGAGATTCAGAAGCCATGGCTGTGCACAGAGGTCGGCAGGGTCGATCACTAAAACTGACTTACCCAAAGCCTGAACTGGCAGAGCCCCAGTGTGCTGGCCTGCTCCCAATTGACATTCCCCCCCAGCCCCCTCTGCTGAGGTCACCTAAAGCAGGGAAATTGTGCAGCTACAGAAGCAATATCTGCTGCGGTACAAAAACAGTAACAGTGTTGTCTTGTTCATTTGTGCAGCACCTAAATCGAGCTTGTTCTTTGTCAGCTACCATTCTAGAAGTGCTTTGCCAGTATTCACTTTTCCAAACTCCTCTGTGGCAGTTAGCCTCAGAGAGCTGAAGTCCCCTGCCCGAGGTCACATAGCTAGTGCGGAGTGGTCATCTATCTGAAGTAATCTGAGCTTCCCCTGGTTTTCCTCCCTCTCCCTCTCCCCACCCCACTCCTCCTGTCCCCATCCGATAGAGTTACTTATAGTCACTTATTTGTCTTAGGGATGATATGCAGTATTGTGGGTAGTATTCCTACCTGACTTAGTAGTTTGGGTTCTGGTTTTCTTTTTTTTTTTCTTTTTGCCAGTCCTGGGACTTGAACTCAGGGCCTGGGCACTGTCCCTGAGTTTCTTTTTTTCTCAAGGCTAGCACTCTACCACTTGAGTCACAGGGCCACTTGTGGCTTTTTCTATTTATGTGGCACTGAGGAATCGAGCCCAGGGCTTCATGCATGATAGGCAAGTACTCTACCACTGAGCCACATTCCCAGCCCAAAGGTTCTGGTTTTCTGATTAAGGCTGGTGGCATGGCAAGGTGGGAATAGTATGGGGAATTAGCCAACATTGGTCCAGATCATTATACTGTTAATTAGCCGTGTGACCTCGGCTAGATTCCTTACCTCCTCTGTCTTTGAGTGGCATTTTGTGAAGGTAGAGTACATTCTCCTGGCACTGAGTCAGGCTGGAAGCTGGAGCCTTATTGACTATCATCTTGTTTTTCTTCTGTCTGAAGCAGTGAGCTGGGGGCTCAGGGGTACATAAATACATGCCCATATTCGTGGAGTTTACAGAACAGCATCCACGAGGAGTGCCCAGCCTGCTGGTTCAGTTGTTGGGGAGCCTGAGTTCCGACAGGTCCTGGATTTCTCCTTACCTCAGAGGCCTTGGGTAAGGCCTTCCCTCCACCCGAGACCCTGTGTGTCTAGTCATTTTCTGGCTTGTAGCAGGTGACAGCTGGCTCTGCCTGCCTTTCCTCCTAGGCCACTTTCACCATGGCCCCCTGTAGCCTTCTCTGTGGTCCTGGGAGAAATCTCTTTGCTCTCTTCCCAAGTGGAAGTAGAGGAGAACCTGTACTCCCCACAGCCTATCAGGATGAGACTCAAGACCGGAGCAGAATTTGGAGGGAAGGGGGGGAGTCCAAGGCAGCTCTTTGCTTGTGCTTGTGGCACTAGGCTGGAGCTGTGGCGCTGTGGTCAGCATACACCCTTTAGGCTGGGCCATACCCAGCTGGCTTGGAACTGGAGGGCTTGGGGGGAGCCCTAGCTGCGAAGGGGAGGTACATGAGATCTGTCCCCCTCTCCCCCCACTTTCTTGAGAAGGCAGAAGGTCAATGCCTGGGACAAGGAACTTTGTTTCCCTGGGCCAGCACCACAGAGTGGGAGTTGCTCATCATCTCAAGTTTAAGATCCTTGTAAAGGGAGTTAATATCCTGTAATTACATGAACTTCACAGGGCCTTTTAAGGAAGGGTGGTGAAATGCATCCTGTCTTAACAGCGACCTTTCCTGGCAAGGAAATCCCTCTGCCCAGATAATGATAGCAATCTGAGAGGACCCATGGCTGCATTTTATCTCTGGGGCCTAGATCTTCCTGAATTTGATAGCACTTGGGAAGTTATTGAGACTTCTCTGAAGCTTAACAGGCTTATTTACAACTTACTCAGCACTTGCTGAGCATATTTAGGAATTATTCACTCATTCTGAGCATGGGTGGGGGCAGAGGGTGTGTATGAAGACATGGTAGATCAGCTCGCTCTCCTTAAAGAAATAATTGGACTGGGAGCACATACCTGTAGTGCTGTTACTCCAGAGGGCAGAAAGAGGAGTACCTCGGTCTGAGGTCAGTCAGGGCAAAAGTGTGAGATCCTTCTGAAAAACAAAATAAAAGCAGAAGGACTGGGGGTGGGTCAAGTGGTAGAGTATCTACTTAGCACACATGAGACCCTAAATTCAATCCCCAGTTCTGGGACAAACCGTTTCTCTTTTGGCCCTCAGTATCGCCAGTCTGTCATCACTCTGCCTGTTGGTGCAGACGGCCACCAGCACCTCAGCCCAGAGAAAGAGGTGCTTCTGAAGGGAGGTAACTAGTCTTGGGATCTGCCATCCTTGCTGGCCATGTCCTCTGACCTCATTTTTGCCCCTCTGCAGTCCTGTGAAATTAGTACTGGAAATACTTGAGGACTTTCAACACACCACTAAAATTGTGTGTCCAAAGTCACACAATTGAGGAATGGCCAAGTTAAGACATGAACCCATGCTCCCTCCAAAGCCACTGTCTTTTTAATTTAATTTAATTGTAAGGATGCTGTACAGTTACGTGAGTAAGGTAATGAGTACATTTTTTGTCGAGCATTGTTACCCCTTCTTTGTTGTTCTCCCACTCAAAGCCACTGTCTTTAACTAAGAAGTCATAAAATACCCTGTGGTCTGCCAGAAGGAACTGTACTTTTGAGTCAACTCTGCAAGGGTACTTGGATTTAGATAAACAAAGGGCCTGAGGAAGGGAAATCTGGGCGAGGGCTGCACTAGATGGGATCTGAGGCCTGGAGAAAGCCGTTGAGCTGGACAGGAAGCGGTGCCCGGGACAGGACCTGCAGACAGGCAGATGGTCCCAAGGGCCCCATCACTTCCTGCCTGTGTCTCTTGCCTGGAGTGTGTGGTGCGAAAGAAATTGGAATCATTTCCCATGGACTAGAGGTTCTGTGGAGGGCAGAGCCTAGGCCTTAGAACCATTGGATCTATCTGTCTGTCTATCTACTATCTATCTATGTATCATCTATCTATCTATTGAGCAGTTAATTCATAGGAAGCACTCATTCACTCCTGGAGGAGTGAATGAACTACTCCAAATGGAATGAGCCAATGGCAGGGACGTGAGACCTTGGTTCATCCCTGTAAGGGATGGGGCGGGGTGGGGGGAGGATTCCTTAAAGAAGAGTTGCTATTCAATGTACATACTACAAAATTAAGAAAAGTGTAGACAAGGTTGGGTTGCGGGGGCATGAGAATGTTGAAAAGGGTAACACCGATCAAGATGCTTTGTATACATAAACTGTTAAATGGCAACTAGGTACAACTACTTAAGGATAACACAAAACTAAAAACCAAAGGAGAAGAGGTGCTGATGCTTTGGGACATATTGACTAATCCACACATGAGGACAGAATGCACTGTGGAAAGTCTTTGGTACCAGGACTAGGACCTCCTGTGGTCTCCTTGAGGCAGTTCTTAGAAAGCTGTGTCTTAGGGCTGGGGATGTAGCTCAGTGGTAGTGTGCTTACCTACCATGCTTGAGGCTCTGGATTTGAGTCCAAGCACTACCAAAAAAAAATTGCCTAAGTCAAAACACCAGGACACAAGGGTGTATAGAACCTAGCAGTGCCCAAAGTGATGTGTGTGTATCAAGCATAGCTTAGAGGTCAACGTTTTTTGTAAGACTGGCTTCTACTTGGCCTATTGGTCACTGCTTTCTCAATCTGGGATATTCACAGTTAAAACCAAAAAGAAGCCAGGCTTCAGTGGCCCATGCCTGCAAGCCTAGCTACTCAAGAGATTGAGATCTGGGAATAGTGGTTCAAAGCCAGACCAGGCAGACACATCTTTGAGACTCTTATTTCCACGTAACCAGCAAAAAGCCAGAAGTCAAGGTGTGGCTCAAGTGGTAGAGTGACAACCTTGAGTGAAAAAGCTAAGGGACAGCTTCCAGGCCCTGAGTTCAAGCATTGGTACAAGCACAAAGATACAGAGAGAAAGAGAGAGAGAGAGAGAGGCTCATGAGAACTTGCAAAAGGGAGCCCAAGATGAAGCTGTTTTTAAGACAGTTTGGCTGGAGAGTTCCAGCAACTTTCTTTATCATGTGACCTCTTTAGTCCAGGAGTTCTCAATAATAGCTTCCTTCTCTTTTTCAGGTGTTGGTTGAGCGTGTGGTTTTAAGAAAGCCTCAGGACCAGGAAGGGGCCCTGGGAGGAGGCCTTTCTGGGAGCCCCTGGAACCTTCTGGTCCTAGAAGTGAAGCTAAACCACCACCTGGACTTATGACCCGTGGCCTGACTCCTACGCTGCCCATCGAGTTCCACAAGATGGGCTCCTTCCGCAGGCCCAGGCCGAGATTCATGAGCTCCCCAGTGCTCAGTGACCTGCCCCGATTTCAGGCCACTCGACAGGCCCTGCAGTTGAGCTCCAACTCAGCCTGGAACAGGTAAAGGAATGGATGGGGGGGGGGGGGGGGGCAGGAGGGCTTGTCACAGCCAGGCAGGGCCAGGGGACATCTGGAGACTGGTTGAGTGGTTGTGCCTATTGCTTCTTGGCTCTCTACTCTGGAAGTCTGTGATGATTGGGACAAATGAAAGTAATGTTTCCCCCTCTCCCCCCGCCCCCTTCCCCTCTTAACATCTGCCTGTCCATTCACTTTCTGTATTCAGAGGGAGACATTACCCCACTGGATCATCATAGTCAGCGAACCAGCCTGGGATACCTGGGTTGGAATGGCCAGTTAGAGTTTTTGCCTTGTAGCCCCTCTTTAGACACCGAGCATCCAAAAGTGAGGTCGTGTAACAGATCTCAATCAATCTGCTTCCCCTCTGGGAAGACTAGACATGGGTCTGTGAGGAATTCAGTCAAGTAATCTGAACCACAGATGCATGACCCCTGTGAGCCACATGGCTTTGGGAACTCTTGAGAGTATCTGATCTTGCACACCATACCCAGGGTTGACTGAGTCAGTGCTGTCTCACTGTAGGTAACTCGTTTCAAATCTATGCAGGTCCTCTTTGGATTAATTAAATGCATCACGCTTTTAAAGCATTACAGAATTCTGTATGTTCTCATGGAGTTTGTTGATAAATAAGCATAAAGGACCACTCTTTTCTCTCCCCATCGGCGGAAGAGAGGACCCAGATGTTTTAAGCAGATCCTTGTTCTTTATAAAAGAACACCATGGCCGGGTGTTGGTGGCTTATGCTTGTAATTCTAGCTACTCAAGAGTTCAAAGCCAGCCTGGGCAAGAAAGTCTATGAGTGTTATCTCCAAAATCAGAAAACCGGAAGTGGCGCTGTGGATTTAAGTGGTAGAACACTAGACTTGAGGAAAAGAGGTCAGGGACAGCACTCAAGCCTGGAGTTCAAGCCCCATGACTAACAACAAAAAAGAGCACCCTGGGGGTGCACAAGATTATAACCTGCTCTCTTGTTGATATTTGTGTTGGAGTCCCTAAGAATGATGAGTGAGGCCCAAACTGTGGTCCCTCGAAGGACTCTACCCATTTACCTCCCCAGGTAGGAATGGATAAGACAAGGATCCTCTCCCACAGGACATCCTATTAGAAAGGCAAGGAATGATTGTGTCTAGTACCCCAGGCCACAAACAGCTCTGGAAAGACAGACTATGGCCTCCCAGCTGAAAAACCCAGATAGGGGCAAGCCCTGCTTGCTGGGCGAATTTCCTTACACTCTCTCAGGACAGTGGTACTGGCCACAAAGTTTCCTGAAAGCTGATCAGCTGCCTGCCTTTGATCAGGGCTGCCAACTAGACGAGGCTAGATGAGGGCAGAAGTCCAAGTGGTTGGCAGGGGAGTTCTGTGTTGTGTTTATGCCATGAATTTTCTGGCCCTTCCATCTACCTTCACCCCAAGCTGTTTGTGGAAACAGCGTAAGGAAGGCTGATGGTCTAGCCAAGGCTTGTTTCCCTTGCAGTGTCCAGACAGCTGTGATCAACGTTTTCAAAGGGGGCGGCTTGCAAAGCAATGAGCTCTTCACGTTGAATGAAAACATCAGGTATGTGACCAGGCAGGCCAGCACGTGTCTCCTGTGGACTCCACCAGGAGCCTTACATTTTGAGGCTCTATTTTGTTTTCCTGCTTGTTTCTTCTGTTGGCCATTATGTTGCTCTGATATCTATTGAGGTTTTTATTTGTTCATTCACTTTTTCTGCCAGTCCTAAGGATTGAACTCAGGACCTGGGCACTGTCCTCGAGCATTTTTTGCTCAAGGCTAGTGCTGTACCATTTAAGCCATAACACCTACTTCTGGCTTTTTGGTGATTAATTAAAGATAAGAGTCTCATGGAGGGCTGGGAAGGTGGCTCAGTGGTAGAGCGCTTGCCTTGCATGCCTGAGGCCCTGGATTTGATTCCTCAGCACCACATAAGCAAAAAGAAAAAAGCCGGAAGTGGCGCTGTGGCTCAAGGGGTAGAGCGCTAGCCTTGAGCTGAAGAGCTGAGGGACAGCGCCCAGGCCCAGAGTTCAGGCCCCACGACCAGACCCCCCCCCCCAAAAAAAAGAGTCTCATGGACTTTCTAGCCTGGGCTGGCTTTGAACCATGATCCTTAGTTCTCAGTCTCCTGCCTAGCCAGGATGACAGGCCTAGTCACCAGCACTTGGTGCTGATTCCATTTTGAGACAGTTAGCTAGATTTCTGGCTCAGAGTTAGTTTATCTGTGTATCATTTATATGTTTTGAGGGGCATGGAAGAGTAGATGATTGCTGTCACTTATTTCTGCAAACGTTTATTGTGCTCTACTTGATGGTTAAATATCGTATTAGGGCATAGGACTTAGTGATCAGAACTAGACTGCTTGGGATTTATTGCTGTCCTTTTTAATAAGGGACTTGCCAACAGACAGTGCTTATCTCTCTGATGGCCAGGTACTGGGGAGATGGGGGGAAAAAGACAGAGGTGGACTCTACTCTCCTGGAATTTATATTTGGTCAAAGAGATAACAATTAGTCCACTAATCATTCATACAAAATATAAAAGTTCTGTGACCTAGCCCGTGTGATAGAAGTATTTTAATGTGACTTGATCTTGTCCAGGAGGCGGGAACAACAGAGGTGATGTGTGTGCTGTGATCCAAGGGCCCATGGAGATGTAGTACATGGATAAAGAGGGCTCCATGTGGTAGAAACTGGAGGTGGAAAAGTCCTGTGGTTACAGTGAACAAGGGACTGTAAAAAAAAAAAAAAAGGTTGTGTGCACAAAGCACTGGAAGTTGAGTAGTGGTTGGGTTTGTGCCTCAGAGAAATGAGAGCAGAGAGTCAGGCAGGGCTGTGCTAAGAATAAGAGGATGAACCAATGCTTTCATAGCTCTGCATACATGTCCAGTTTGGGTTTGCCAAGTGAGAAAGAACTTCAAGGCTGAAGACTTAGGCCTGGAGTGAGCAGAACAATAACTATTGTTCTGCCATTATTCAGGTCCTGTTGACCCTGAGTTAAGGCCTGTGTTATATAAGGTTGTATAAGGATCTCTGCTTTCATTTAAACCTTTAGCATTCATGAGTGAACAGAATTGTGCTAAATTTCTACCTGTCTTGAATTTCATGTCATAACTGCATAAATGTGGGAAAAGACAAAAGCTTACCCACCAAATGCCTTATTAGAGGGGAAGAAGATGAGATTCCAGGAATGTGTGTGATAGGGGCAAAGCTGGGTCACTTACCCCCAAGTTACTCCAAGAACAGAGGTCCCAGCTTTCCCAACAGGAGTATAAATAAATAAAACAGGGACTCAGGAATGCGTGAATTGTTCTCACTCGGCCAGAGGAATCCTCACATTGTACTTGAAAGCTCTTTGTGGGCAGCTCGGAAATGCACAGGCCAGGCGTGATGTCACCAGCTCCGTGGGCCCCAGGGCTGCCAAGTGAGCCAAAGGGGCATCTCGGGGTGAAGCGCAGCCCTGGTGCCTGGAAAGAAGCTCCTGACCTTTGTGGAAAGGAGAATTACGCTGTCAGGACATGGCTCCAGTGACAGTTCATCTTATTTCCCAAGAAGAACCGGAAATTGTGATTTTTTTTTTTAGAAATGTGAAATTTCCTGACTTTTAGATGTTGATAAATAATCCAGATTTTCCCCTAAACATTGGTGCAGGCCAACTACAACACGTCTGCAGACACAGACGGGCCATGGTGTCATGAAGACATCAAGGCTGGGAAGTGATGTGTCCTAGGCTTAACCTCCGAGCTTGGGCACTATCCCTGAGCTTTTTTGCTCAAATCTAGTGCTCTACCACTTGAACCAGAGCTCCACTGCCAGCTTTTTTGATGCTTAATTGGATGTAAGTCTCACAGGCTTGCCCTGCTGGCTCTGAACCGTTATCTTCAGATTTCAGCCTCCCGAGTAGCTAGGATTACAGGCGTGAGCCACCAATGCTTGGCTTATTTTTTTCTTTGAGTGTGAAGTGATTACACCACAGTGTTTTTATGATGGCATTCCAGATGTGCATGTATTGTATTTTTCTCAGAATAACTTTCTCTATCACTTTCTCTTTCCTTGCCCTTAAACCCCTCACCCTTCAAATCAGCAGCATTCATTGAGATGATCTATGTGGTCTTTATACAGAGTTTCACTGTATTTCCAAACTATTCACTCTCCGTCTTCCTTTTTTCCTCTTCCTTTCCCCTCATCCCCCTACATAGTTCTATAGTTAGAATTATGTTGCATGAATATGCAGATATATATGTGTATATACACACATTTACATATAGGTATGTCTATATATGTACATATCCATGAACATGTATATCATTTAGGTCTTGCATTTACTTATGAGTAAAAACATGATATTTGACATTTTGAGTCCCCTGACCTTTTGCTTATATCTTTGAACCCTGGAGAGGAACTCTAAGTTGTCCCTTATTAAGAATATAACAGATCTTGAGGGTCCTGACTTTTTGAACTCGTCTAAACCTAATTCCTTCCCTGAAGTTTCTCCTGCAAGTACTCTCACCTTGAGAGGTGGGGCTTAGGCAGGCACTGGAATTTGGAGATAGATGGGCACAATTCAGTTCATGGTAACACCCTCACGCCCTGTACCATCTTGCGTCAGTGAGAGATTCTACATTGGTAGTACAGTTAAGCCAATGGCTCCTGATCCGTCTTTCTGCTATTATTCCTTTTATGGAGCCTATCTCTTGAATTTGCATAAATTAATTGTATGACTAGGTTTCACTGTGATACGCATGGAATGTGGTTTTGATTGATTTCACCTGGCCTCTATTTCTCTTCCTTAATTGTCTTCCTTGTGAATCGTTTGTAGTGAGTCTCATTAAGCTATTTCCATACATATGTAATGCACTTTGGTCCTGTCCATCCCCATTACCTTTCGTTCTGGTGTTGGGGCACTATCAGATGCTAGTCTCAGGAGAATGACAGATGGCTGGGGTTGGAAAACGGCTCAAATGTGAACCAAACCCAGACTAACTCATGACTCTCAGAAACCAGAGCTTGTTCCGCCTTTGTTTCTGTATCTTCTGCCCTTTGGCTTTGAAGAGAGTGGCTGGCGTGGAGCCAGGCTTTCCCCTCACGGAAGCTTGGAGTACCGCTAGGAACAGGAAGTGGGTTCCAGGCATATACATGACTTGGGCATCTCAAGGGGCATTAAACACGCTGACCCAAGTCTGCATCCACATCTGCAAGAGCCTTTCTGGAAATAAATCCAGCTGTTCCTGTTGAAGACCTAATACACTGACAGGGACATGCCATGCTCTGGCTGGGTTCTAAAGTCCAGACATTCAGAACACTTAGGTTTTGAATTTCCTTTTGGATGGCCAGTTTGCAGAAGAGATTCATAAACTTAACAGGGCTGAAGTACGACGGTGGATAAAACAGAGGACATGGGATGGGTTGTGAGAAAGAAGACATGGAAGGATAGAAGGCCAAGTTGTTCCCAAGCTCATTGTTCAGTCAGTTGTGACAGTGCCCAGTGTGTGCTGGGTTCAGTAGAATGTTCTGACTTAAATGAGCAGCTTCTGAATTCAGAGGCCTGGGGAGCAAGACTGAACTCATGGAGTTCCTTCCTTCCTTCCTTCCTTCCTTCCTTCCTTCCTTCCTTCCTTTCTTCCTTCCTTGCTTCTTTCCTTCCCTCCTTCCTTCCTTCCCTCCTTCTTTCCTTCCCTCCTTCCTTCTTTCTCTCCTTTCCATTTTCCTTTCTTCCTCTGACAGTACTGGGTCTTGAACTCAAGGCCAGAGCATTCTCCCTTAGCTTTTTTGCTTAAGGCTGGTACTCTACCATTTGAACCACATCTCTACTTCCAACTTTTTTGTGTGGTTAATTGCAGATAAGAGTCTCACAGACTTTTCTGCCCAAGCTGGCTTCAAGCTTCAGTCTTCAGATTTCAGTCTCCTGAGTAGTTAGGATTACAGGCCTGAGCTAGTGGCTACTGATTCAATATACTCAATATAATTCTTTTCCTTTGCTTTGCTTTTCCTTCCTTCCTTCCTTTCTTTCTTTCCTTCTTTCTTTCTTTCTTTCTTTCTCTCTATCCTTCCTTCCTTCCTTCTTCTTCCTTCTTCTTCCTTCTTTCTTCCTTTCTTTCTTTCTTTCTTTCTTTCTTTCTTTCTTTCTTTCTTTCTTTCTTTCTTTCTTTCTTTCTTTCTTTCTTTCTTTCTTTCTTTCTTTCTTTCTTTCTTTCTTTCTCTCTATCCTTCCTTCCTTCCTTCTTCTTCCTTCTCTTTCTTTCTTTCTTTCTTTCTTTCTTTCTTTCTTTCTTTCTTTCTTTCTTTCTTTCTTTCTTTCTTTCTTTCTTTCTTTCTTTCTTTCTCCTTTGGTCCAGTTCTGGGGCTTGAATTCATGGGCACTGTCCCTAAGCTTCTTTTGCTCAAGGTTAGCACTCCACCACTTGAGCCACAGTACTACTTCTGACTTTTTTCTGTTTATGTGGTACTGAGGAATCAAACCCAGGGCTTCATGCATGCTTGGCAAGCACTCAGCCATCAATATAATTCTTGTCGTGAATATCTAAGAACAGTATGTGGTTATGTGATACACATACAGGTCAGCAA